TTTTTTTTTTTCAGGGGCCATGCTAATCTTCTCTGTATCGTTCCAATTTTAACGGATGTCCCGAAGGACTGTTCTTTTTTCAGTTGGCCAAAGAAAGATCTTTCGATCCTCGTAAGACTAAATATAGAAATGACCCAGGAGCCTACCTCAGTTCGTACACCAATGAACTCTAGAAATAAAGACCCACAAAAAAAAAAAAAAAAAAAAAGAAAGAAAGAAAGAAAGAAAGACCCCCGTTCGAATCCAGGAGGGAGATCCCACTAGCCAGGTATATGGATTAGTGTGACGGGTGGGGGACGGGTGGGGGACAGGTGGGCGGCAGCGTGAAATATAGAAAATAAACGTAAAAAAACAGGGGCAAGAGTAACTCCATACACCATTTGCTGTAGGTGAGGGGATCGAACCCTCCCAAACACCTCCCAAAAAATAAGGGGGCACATGCATGTCAAAGGAAGAGGACAAAAGCATTGCCCATGTGAAACATTTGCGGAGACTACAGACAACTTGGACGAGGGTCTGACACGGACTGACATTCCCTCGTGATGGGAAACACCGAAAAATTTTGTTTTCGGCCTCTCTTCCACGCATGGGCCACAACCCAAAGGTGAGTGAAAGGTGAGTGAAAAGCAACACAAAAAAAATGGGTCTGATTTTCGCTCACGTTCGGGACCCCCAGAGGAACACGGCAAGCAAAACAAAAGAAAGACCACCCAATGGGATGCTCCAAAAAAACATATATTTTCGAGGGCTAAAATACAGGAAAAACAAAACCACCGATCCCCATTCCCATCGACGGCGGAGGCGGGTCACACGCCCTCTACACTACTCCACAGACAATGCTAGTGGGATCTCCCTCCGGATAATAATGGAACTGGATGAGTAAAAGCAAATAACAATATATATATATGTCCTCTTCTCCCTCTCTGCCTACGGTTTACCGGGCAGTTCTATTTGACGATATATATCGTCACAAACAGAACTGCCTGGTAAACCGTAGGCAGAGAGACAGAAGAGGACAACAAATATATATATATATAACAATATATATACATATATACATATAACAATATACAATATATATATATATATATATATATATATACAGAGAGAGAGAGAGAGAGAGAGAGAGAGAGAGAGAGAACTGCGGCGGCGTCCTCCGGCAGGGTGCGCATGGCTAACTGCAGGACTTCTCGCGACGGTGGGCATGCTCACAATACGGAGTACGTGTTTACGTGTTTACGGACGTGATTGCGGGTCAGATGCATACAGCGCGGGCCGTAAATGCGATGACATACATTCAAGATAGCGCTAGGGTGAGTACGCCCTGAATGTGGACCGCAACCACCGGTCAGGTGCAGCCCGCAAACGTTCTCATGTGTCTCGTACCCTTGGCACGGCCAGGGGTCATTCGCCAGTCGCGACATTAATAATACAATAATATGACGCGTCAACAGCAATCAGCGACAGGCAGATACGTACGCACGCGGCATCTTCCACGTGGCAGTCTATCGATCAGTTACAACGTACGAGCATCCTCCACGCGTCATTCCCTCCCCCCCACAC